GAAATAAAATGTTGAAATAAAAATATAGAACAGAAATGATAAAACTGAGAAATACAATCTTTAAAAATATGGATCCTTTCCTCTCCTCTCTCTGCTTTTTATGACGCAGGGGGTTTTAGTTTAGGAGAACAAACCCGGACCAGAACCGGGCCGCCGCCGTGGTGCCTTCACGGCCCGTCGGACTCCGCCGTTTTCGTGCTTCTTGCTTTTGCAAACCGAGAAAGTTTGAAAGTTTTCGTCCTGAGCTCCAAAACATCCCCGAAGGCTCAAAACTCAAATTCCTGACAGCACGTACGGTGTAAACAGTCGGATATTTGCTCTAACATTTGCTATTTTACTCTAAAACGGGCTGACATTATTGTTTTTTGGGGTTGTTTTTTTAACCGGACTCCACTTTTTGTCAGAACTTGGTTTGACCTCGTTTTTTTTTTCTTCTTCTTTCTCCCCCCCTTTTTCCTTTTTTTTTCAAGGCCCACTTTTGTCCACATTTCCCTCAAATCTCTTTTGGTGTAGTAATAGAATACTAAGTGAGGCAGCTCATTTAATTCCCTTGGATCGTGTCCTGGTTTCGTGGCCGCGGTGCATTTAAATGTTAACTAGTCATACAAATGGAAATGAGCACGGGAAGTGCTGGGGTTTGGATCCGTGCGCGTTTGGGAAAAAGACAGAAGTCTTGTTAATGGTCAACCTTTTCTCTCTTTCTGCTTCCCTAAGAGTGGGACATTGTCATATTGGAGGGATGATATATGTTGTATATTTCTAAACTTTTTCGTGTTCCTATTATTTCCTAATGTGATTTTTTTTAAATGGTTTGTTCATAATGTAATGTAATTTCTTCATGTGAGGACCCCAGGAAGACTAGTGGCCATTTATTTGGAAGCTAATAGGGATCCTAATAAAACTAAACTAAACTAAACTAAACTCCAAATTTAGCTAATACTTATAATACTCCAATTTTAGCTAATACTTGTAATACACAAAGATTTCAGAACAGAACAAGCTTAAAAAAGATCCTGTCTTCAGAACTACTGCAGATGATATGATGAACTGACCTGTGTATATATGTTGTATATTTCTACTCTTTTCCATGTTCCTATTATTTCCTAATGGGATTTTTTTAATGGTTTGTTCATAAAGTAATGTAATTTCTTCATGTGAGGACCCCAGGACGACTAGTGGCCATTTATTTAGCAGCTAATGGGGATCTTAATAAGACTAAACTAAACTTAAACAGAAGTAGCTGCAAATAGTAAAGTTAAAATAAGAATAATATGTGTATATATATTGATTTATGCTCCCAGTTTAGGCCCAGTAGCCATTGTTGTGCTGTTTGTAATGGTGGGATTGGTCCTGTATGTGGAGCCTCCATGTTTTCTTGTCATATCCAATCCAATCCACCTTTATTTATATTGCACGATTTAAACAAACACAGGGTTTTCCAAAGTGCTGCACAAAAACATATCCAGAAAAATAAACAACACAGTAGAAATTCAGCTAAAAGTAAAAAAATATGCATGAGTATACATAAAATCAACACTATTTGGCAGCTAATGGGGATCTTAATGAGACTAAACTAAACTAAAACAGAAGCAGCTGCAAATAGTAAAGTTAAAATGATAATAATATAGATTTATGCTCCAAGTTTGAGCCCAGTGGCCATTGTTGTGCTGTTTGTTGTTTGTGCTGTTTGAGCCTCCATGTTTTATTGTCAGATTTCTACTCTTTTTCATGTTCCTATTATTTCCTAATGTGATTTTTTTTTAATGGTTTGTTCATGATGTAATATAATGTCTTCATGTGAGGACCCCAGGAAGACTAGTGGCCATTTATTTGGCAGCTAATGGGGATCCTAATAAAACTAAACTAAACTAAACTCCGAATTTAGCTAATACTTATAATACACAAAGAGTTCAGAACAGAACAAGCTTAAAATATAATTAAACTAAACTAAACTAAACTAAAACAGAAGCTGCTGCAAATAGTAAAGTTAAAATGATAATGATATAGATTTATGCTCCCACTCCGGGCCCAGTGGCCATTGTTGTGCTGTTTGTTGTTTGAGCCTCCATGTTTTCTTGTCAGATTTAGTCTGATCACCGTCTTTTTTACTTTGTCTGGCAGGTTCTCCGATGCATGTCCACGGTGAATGTCTATTTGGCAGCTAATGGGGATCCTAATAAAACTAAACTAAACTAAAATATGCTCCCAGTTTGGGCCCGGTGGCCATTGTTGTGTTGTTTGTAATGGTGGGATTGGTCCTGTATGTGGAGCCTCCATGTTTTCTTGTCAGATTTCTTTACTTTTTCATGTTCCTATTACTTCCTAATGTGATTTTTTTTATATTTTGTTAATAATTTCTTCATGTGAGGACCCCAGGAAGACTAGTGGGCGTTCATTTGGCATCTTAATACAACTAAACTAAACTAAAACAGAAGCAGCTGCAAATAGTAAAGTTAAAATAAGGATAATATGTGTACAATATTGATTTATACTCCCAGTTTGAGCCCAGTGGCCATTGTTGTGTTAGACACTTAGACAACTTTTACTGTCATTTTGCATGCACACAGAATGACATTTCAATTGCATACAGCCCACGACAAGAACAGAACTCAACAATCCAACAGTTGATGGCAACAGGTCAAAATCATCTGATCAGAATCAGAATCAGATATACTTTAATAATCCCAGAAGGAAATTATTTTGATGGTGGGATTGGTCCTGTGTGTGGTAGGGATGGAATGGTTTCTGAAAACTGTTGGGTTGGACTGTCTCGGTTGGATTTGTGTGTGTTTTGTTCGGTTCCTGCTGCTCCTTTTTCTCAGAGGGAAGCGTTTACACTCCAGAGCAGAAGGGGGCGCTACTGCACCCAAAGCCAACCACCAGTAGGAAACAAGAATATGCAACGCCAGAATCTCACCTACTTTTATCCCTGTAATGCCAAATGTGTCATATTTGATTCATACGGTTTCTGAAATGTTTTGCGTCTGACTCCTTTTGCATAATTTAATGGTAAAGACTTTGCTCAAAATCCTAATTTACACAATCAGATACACCTGATAACAGGGGGCAGAAGACTACACAAAACCACCAACCACCAGTAGCAAACAAGAAGAAGAAGAAGCAGCGTAGCCGATAAAAATCAGACCCAGCAGCAGTTTCTAGGTCTGCTGTATGGACCAGTTTGCATTTAGAGGGAAGCACATGTTGGAATTAGCACTGTTTCCTCTCTGGCAGAATCTCACCTACTTTAACCTCAGACTGTCACAGTAATGGATCAGATGTCAGACTGCTTTTTTCTTTCAGTTTTAACCTGACTATACAAGACATAATAGATTTTCCTAACAATCAACATATACCGAACCGAAAACCGTGACCACGAAACCGTGAATCGAACCGAACCGTGGATTTTGTGAACCGTCCCACCCCTAATAGATATTGATATATGCTCCCAGTTTGGGCCCGGTGGCCATTGTTGTGTTGTTTGTTGTTTGTGCTGTTTGAGCCTCCATGTTTTTTTGTCAGATTTAGTCTGATCACCGTCTTATAGACTTTGTCTGGCAGGTTTTCCGATGCATGTCCACGGTGAATGTCTGGAGGAAGACTAGTGGCCACTTATTTGGCATCCTAATAAAACTAAACTAAACTAAAACAGAAGCAGCTGCAAATAGTAAAGTTAGAATAAGGATAATGTGTGTATACAGTGGGGGAAATAAGTATTTGATCCCTTGCTGATTTTGCCGGTTTGCCCACTTACAAAGAATGCAACGATCTATAACTTTAATCATATGTACATTCTAACAGTGAAAGACAGAATCCCAAAGAAAATTCCAGAAAATCACATCATATGAATTTATAAAAATTGATAACCATCTGATGAGTAAAAATAAGCATTCTTTGTAAGTGGGCAAACCTGCAAAATCAGCAAGGGGTCAAATACTTATTTCCCCCACTGTA